CTCTCTCTCTCTCTCTCTCTCTCAAAATAAGGGTGTTTTTTTTTAATGTTTTATTTATTTCTGAGAGAGAGAGACAGTATGTGAGCAGGGGAGGGTCAGAGAGAGAGGGAGTCACAATCCGAAACAGGCTCCAGGCTCCGAGCTGTCAGCACAGAGCCCGATGTGGGGCTCAAACCCACGAACCGTGAGATTATGACCTGAGCTTAACCGACTGAGCCACCCATGCGCCCCTGGAAAATCCATTTAACCTGAGTGTTCGGATCCTGTTTTACCCACAAGACACCTCTTCTGTGAGTCTCAGAGATTGTTCAGGTCCCAGCACTCTGCTTTCCCTGTAAAGAACTCTTAGTCCTCAGACAGGACAGTCTCTGCCCCTTCCTGCCGCCTCTGTGGCACCTTCCTCTGCCTTCTGGGAGAGTTCCCCAGTTTTGTTTTGTTTTGTTTTGTTTTTTTACAAATAGTTTATTGTCAAATTGGTTTCCATATAACACCCAGTGCTCATCCCCACAAGTGCCCTCCTCCATGCCCATCTCCCCCCTTCCCCCCCCCCCCCCCCCCCCAGTTTGTTCTCAGCATTCAAGAGTCTCTCATGGTTTGCCTCTCTCCCTTTCCCCCACCATTTCCGCCCTTCTTCTCCCCCTTGTTCCTCCGTTAAGTTCCTCCTAATCCTCCTATACGTGCAAACATATGATATTTGTCCTTCTCTGCCTGACTTATTTCGCTCAGCATAACACCCTCAAGGTCCATCCATGTTGCCACACGTGGCCAGATTTCATTGTTTCTCATTGCCATGGAGTATTCCATGGTATAGATAAGCCACATCTTGATCCATTCGTCCGTTGATGGACACTTAGGCTCTTTCCATGTTTTGGCTATTGTGGAGAGTGCTGCTATGAACATTGGGGTACATGTACTCCTATGCCTCAACATTTCTATATCCCTTGGGTAAATTCCTAGCAGTGCTATTGCTGGGTCCTAGGGGAGTTCTAGTGTTAGTTTCCTGAGGAACCTCCACACTGTTTTCCAGAGGGGCTGTACCAGTTTACATTCCCACCAACAGTGTAGGAGGGTGCCCGTTTCTCCACATCCTCGCCAGCATCTAGAGTTCTCTGATTTGCTCATTTTAGCCACTCTGACTGGCATGAGGTGGTATCTCAGTGTGGTTTTGATTTGTATTTCCCTGATGAGGAGGGACGCTGAGCATCGTTTCATGTGTCTGTTGGCCATCTGGATGTCCTCTTTGGAGAAGTGTCTGTTCATGTCTTCTGCCCATTTCTTCACTGGGTTGTTTGTTTTTCGGGTGTGGAGTTTGGTGAATTCCTTATAGATTTTGGATATTAACCCTTTATCTGATATGTCATTTGCAGAGAGTTCCCCAGTTTTGCTCAGTTTCTCCAAGTCAAATTTCTCTCACCTTTGGGTTTGGTTTCCCTGGAGTCTTTCCCCTCACCTCCTCCATCTCGCCCTGTATTTTTAGGACTCCGTTCTGCTTTCACGTTTCCCATATAACCCCCCTTTCCGTCATCTGCGGTGTGTGCGGACTCCACCTCAGGAAGGAGCCCTCTGCCCACACCTGCGATCCAACAGCAGACGCGGCAGGGGGTTATTTTTGACTCTGAACTTTTGGGTGCCGCGTGAACCTTCTCCAGTGAAATTGGGAGATGGAATCTAACCCGACTGCATCGTGCCTCTGCTGGGCTGAGTTGAGAGTTCTCTTCTTTCTTCTGCCCTCTTTAGAATTTTTTTTTTTGACATCTAAGTCAACAGGTGTCCAAGAAAAGTCATGGCCTTCAGTGACAGCGAGGTAGCAAGGTTTTGACTCCCCACGTTTCTTGCCGGTGCAAGCGTGGTGTTCCTGAGGAAGGATCAGATCCGGTGGGGGGTAGGCAATGCCCTCCTTGTGCTCGGCGACTACTGGCTTGTTGACGGAACCAAAGGTGGGCAGGCCATTGTCTGGCTTCACACACCTCCATCCACATATGGATGCTGGAGATTTTCAGCGCTTCTTTTAGCGCTGTGATTATTTTGCATCTGTTTTGTGTCTTTACAGACACGTTGCCACAAAGCTGAGAAAGACTACCTCACCTTGGCTGAGCAGATGCTTCTGTGTGCTGGAAATCTCCATGGGTCCATGCAGTCCACACTGATAAGGCCCTATGTGTGTCCCATGCGGTGCAGCCACACACACCCTCCCCTTATAGGTAGTGGTATCTTGACCCAGACATGGCCTGGGACCTTGACATGAGCCCTACAGTCAGAATCTACCCATTTCTCCCACACAGAACCATCAAGCTAACAGCTTCGTAGTTAGAGAAAATGGAAAATATAGATGGAACCAGGAGAACTTTTCTACCTATGGGTATCTTCTTAGGGAAAGTTTCAGAAATGAGGAAACATTGTGTTTTCGTTTACATTAACGTACAACGTGACTGTGAGCCTCATGAAGCAAACCAGTCGATCTTTCTGGAATGCCACTTCTTCATGAGGCTCTGGACCCCCTCACCAAATGCTACCAGCGCTTACATTGCCTATCCTTAGCAATGCTTTATCTTTACGATTTGACGTGATTTTCTTAAAAATCCTGAGCTTCTGTGGCATGAAGCCTCATCATGAAGGTACTTTGTGGGATTAGGAAACGTCAGTTTTAGATGACATGCTGCTGTAGAAGTCCTGAGACCAGCGTGCATGGGTCTGGGGACACTCTGGTGGAAGGTCCCAGGTGATGGATGGACAGCAGTGCAGTCCTGGAATTGTCAAAACGTGAAGAAGCACCCCTTCCCTCTAGAACGATACGTGATGGACTCTTTCTAGAGTCTTTAATAATTGTTATCGTTTCAAGAGTTCTAAAGACCATTTCTCATTGCGTTTCATCACCGTAAAATCTCAAAGGGGCCGTCAGTGTGTTTGAAAGTCGCATCACAGCGATGAGGAGCTGAGGATTCGAGCTCCAGGTGCAGTGAGGTATGGGAACCAAGCCCTCGGGCGTCTTTGAGGGCCGCACACCTGCCCTGGGTCAGGGCCCCTATGAGGATCCACACAACGAGGCAGAGTGGGTCCCCGTTTAACTGTCCTCATCTGTAGTGCCATTACTTCTTTCTTTCTGTGACGGACATGTCTCATATTACAAACTAGGAGGGTAAGGGAGAAGGGAGGGACTTTCAGATTTGGCCTATATGAAGATCATTGGTACAAAAGAACATCACAGAACCTAGAAAGACACAGAACAGGACACACAAGCATCTCCAACAAATGGAAACAAGAGTGGGGACCTCCCTCATCAGCATAGAGGCCACGGGGATAAACAGTCATTCCAGGATATCTGACTCTTTCTTCCTTGACGTCATCCAGATAAAATACACTCGCTCGTTACTGTGACATCACACACCACACCCTCCACACCAGCGTCTCCCTCCAACGGGCCCCATGGTCCAGGAGAACCAGAGTTTGTTCACATCCGTCCCTGTGGCCCTGGTCTCTCTCCACCTTCTGTCAAACAGGGACCAAAGGATCATCCATGTCGTAATTTAAAAATAAGAAGTATTATATGTGGAGCGAGGGCTGGGCACAGAGCCCCAGTTATTTTTAAGAGCCAAGTGAAATAAATGTTTTTGTGCCTCCAACATTCAGGGAGACAGTCAAACCTAGCATTGCAAGTGGGCTCCGGGCCCCCGGGCAGTGAAACAGAGCGAGTCACCATCCACAGAGGACTCGCTGAAAGTGCTCCCGTTCAGAGCAGGCGCCTGACAGCGCTGGGGGAGCAGGCAGACCCTACAAACACACAGACACAGGTCCCCAAGGCCCCTAGGCTTGCTGTGCAGATGGGATGAACAGATACGGCCCTATTTCCAAAATCACAGCAATTCGAAAAGGTTGAAAATCACAAAAGTTGGATTCTGCCTGAGTGACACCCTCACCAGCCACGTCCCCAGGAGACTGGTGGAGACTTTGATGGGCAGTCCCAGCACCTCCCTCCCTGCCCTTCCCCCGCGCCCCCACCCCCACCCAAGGCAGGAGGTGAGGGCCTGCCTGAGCCAGCTCCTGACTTAGGTTATTACAAGTTTTGATTTACAGGTGGATTCAAGAAATTGGGGACATAGCAATTCAATCCCCGGGTTAACCGAAGCTTAGTTGAAGGCACCTGGTTCTTCAAGCTTTTCTGTTGAAAACAGTCATCGGATGTACTGAGGTCCCTTTTGACCTTGCTAGGATCTGTCTGGTGAATGTGCTGGGGCCGTTAGTGACAGAGGATCTTGTACGAGCACAAAGTAATCATTCCGAACAATAGATCTCGTTATAGATACAGATGCAGTAGGTGATGGAACAGGGGTTAGCTGGCCTCTAGAATATTCTTGGAATTCACCCGGGGACAGTCTCTTTGTGTGCTTGTTTTCTTGATGTTTTCTTCTTTTTCTCAAATGTATATTCTCCCCCTAGAACTCCCATTTTTGCAGGGCTCTGAGTGAACTGGGTGAACGGATTAACTCCTGAAAGCCCCAGTACCCCTCGTGCTAAGTACAGGGTAACCTAGACCAGGGTGATGGTTTGAGGCGTGGGTAAAAGCAGGCATGTGCCGTCTAGGGTATCAAACCAAGTCTGCCTGATGCCCAGGGCCATGAGCCAGTTTCCCTAATTAGCGGGCGGGGTCCCTGGGTGTTTGCCTTCAGCGGAGGGGGCGGACGCCCGGCGACTCCCTCTGCGGGGCCCGCTCGGAGCGCCCCTCGCCCCAGCCGGTGCTGGTTCTCGCTCTGACCTCCTTGCTGCGTCCGGTGAGCTGCCAAGCCAGCCCGCGGGTCACACCGGCTGCGGCGTGATGTATAGACCTGCTCCTCCGGGAGGGCGGGAGGCGCCGCCACCCGGGGGAGCAGCCCGGGGGAAGTCGCCCGGTGCGGCGGGGACTGGCCTGTGCCCATCAGAGTTCACTCTCGGTGCGCGCTCGAGAAACCTGTCTCCCGGCCTCCCCGGGGCCTGGACGCTGCTGACCCGCGTCTGCGTGTTTCCAGGGAGTACTACGTCACCATGGTGAAGTGGGCCACCAGCACCAAGGTCGCGGTGAACTGGCTGAGCCGGGCGCAGAACGTGTCCATCCTCACCCTCTGCGACGCCACCACTGGCGTCTGCACAAAGGTACGGGGAGGGGGCGGGGGCCGGGGGCCGGGGCGTGGCGGGGGGCGTTCCAGCGCCTGGGAGCCCCTTGACCTTGGTCACTGTCCACACACTGCCAGGAGCCCGCCTGTTGGCCTCTGTTTTGGTGCCACCTTGTGGATGAGTTGTGTACTGCAGCAAAAGTCAAGGCTAAGCCCTTCAGTGACGCAGGAGGCCCATCCTTGGACCGGCTTGTGCGCCACCGTCCGTGGCTGTGTTGATCCCCTTTATCTGCGCCCACTGCATGCCCAGGACAAGCATTCTCTGCATTTTCCAGCCGAGAGCAGAGAGGGGAAGGGGCAGCCTGAGGCCCCCGGGCACAGGTGGAGCCAGGGCTGTGACCTGCCTCGCCTTGCCCACGGTTGGTGGACCTGCGTGGTCCGAGAGCCCAGCAATGTTCCTAGGGGCCTCGGGCTGACTGGTTAGAGGAGGCAAACACAGGGACGATGCCATGGAAAGTACAGGCGGAGGGAAGCGAACAAAGGATGACAATCTAGGCCAAGGGGGTGCACCTCCCGGCTGCCACAGGCACACCCTCCCGCCGGTGGGCCCCAGGCCACCACGCATCCGCGTTAGCCCAAAGAGGCGCACACACCTCCTCGTGCTGGGTGGGGAAAATAAATCAATTAAACTCCATGAATAAAGCCAGGCAGGTCTTCCAGAAACTCCTTTTGGGCCCATAGGTTTTTATTTCCCTGCCGGGGAGGGAAAGGGCTTGCAGCACAGATTTGCTGGGTCCTGGGAGGCCCTGAAGCAGCTGCTCTGGCGCACCAGGCACCGTGTTCAGGTGCGCTGAGTGTCTGCCACTGAGCCGACGTGCCCACGGGGGTCTGTGATGCACTGAGAGCAGAGTCCGGGCTATTCGATGGGCAGATTGAGGGGAAGGAGGGAAGGGAGGAATAGACACACAGCCAGGAAGCCAGAAATCAGTTTTCTGCACCTGCTGTCACCTCTGCCCCGACCTGAGTCCATCCTGAGACTCCTTCCTGCCGATGGTCCGTGGACTACAGGACCCCTCCCTGGGCATCTGGAGGCCAGAGCAGCAGCAGGGCCAGGCCCACTGCTTAGCTGAAATACTGGTGTTTCTTGTTTCATTTTGTCTTCCATTATGTGTCTTTCCACACAGTTCTGGGAGATTTACTTTTCTTGTACATTTGCAGTCTCTTTAATGTCTGGGGCTCCCAGGATTGTTATTCAGGACTGTGACTTGAGAAATGGCCACACACCTGCACACGCACACACACAAATCCCTACGGCAAGGTAGCACCTTTCAGCAGGCCCACGCATAGACTGACCACCAAATGGTAGAAGTGTGCCGTCTTCCGCAGGATCCCCCCACCACAGATGTCTCCCTGTTGCTGGGCAGAGTGACGTTTTTCTTGCTCAGGGACACTCGTGTTGGGCTGTGAGCCACAACGGTGAGCCAGATGCCTCCTCCCCAGGCGGGCCACGGCTCTGTCTGCCTGTGCAGCAACCGTGGACGGGAATCCAATTGTTTCTGCACTGTTGGTCACAGACACAAAACGTGCAAAAAAATCCTTTCTCTGATGCTCTGATTTCATTTCAGAAACACGAGGATGAAAGTGAAGCCTGGCTGCACAGACAGGTAACTATCACACATCTGGGTCCCCACATCTTGTGTCTGCGCCCGCCACCGGATCCGCCACCACGGCGGCCTTCCGAGCTTTTACAGCATGATGGCTCCTCGCGTTAAATCCCCAGGTAGCCCCGCAGAGGTTCCCGGCCCTGGTGGGGGGCGGGGGCTGCCCGACCGGCTCCCCCTTGCTCCCCGAGGCCCCTGCACATGACTGGAGAATCACAGGCCCACGGGAGAGAGACAGTTTGAAAATCACGGCTCTTGAGAACGTCCAGGACTTGGTGAGAATTCAGTTCTCAGTTTGATGTCCTTCTGGTGAATTATGATAAAGGTTGGCTCGATGTTCTCTCTAAAACAGGCGGGTAGCCCTGCCTCTCTGTGCGTGATCTCATGGCTGTCTCGTTGGGGGCAGACCCCACTGGGGTTCGCTGTGAGCTTTCCCGGGAACCTGGCCTTCAGAGCCGCCCCCAGTTTTCCTGTCCTTACTTGGGCAAGAGGTGCGTGTCAAACAGGCGCTGGGGTCCTGAGGTTTGAGGAGGTCAGGAGAGGCTGACAGGGACTCCTTTTTCTGCAACAAAGAAAAGTTCAACTCCTACAAAAAGCAGGGCTCTCAGGGCTGGTGTTTGGTCTCATTCCACACACTGGCAAAGAACAGCTGAGAGAGTTCTAGAGGCTTCCTTCCTTCCTTCCTATCCAATTCTTTTGGGGTGAAAACAGTCTGAACACTTGTAGGGAATATCACACCTGATTAGAGTCTCAAGAATCACAGGCGCCAGCAGACTCTGGGGACAGAATAACCGTGGCCAGACGTGGACCCCCCGAGTGGACCTTCCCTAGCAACGGATCAGCGGTCTGTCCCAGCCTCCTGCCAGACACGTCCACGGCCACAGCCTCATATGCGGGCACACTGACTCTGAAACATTCCTCCTCGCCAGTCTTTTCTGAAGGAGAAATCGCCGAAATGCCCCATCTCGTTTCCGAGTGTGGGCGCCGCATCCAAGCTAAGAAAAGGCCAAGAAAGACAGCGTGCTTGGAGAACCCGGAAACAGGAGCTGGGTAGTCGTGCTGAGAAGCTCCCGGAAGCCCCTGGATCAGCGATGGGAACGCAGATAGCAAAATATGTGCTGACGCCCCTCCTGTGCCAGACAGAACGTCAGGGAGCATGACGTGAAAGAGGCAGAAGAAGATCCGTTGTCTCTACAGTCGTCTGATCAACCACTACTTTACAGATCAGACCAGGCACCACATGGGCTCAGTGGATTTCAAAACGGCATCGGCACCTTCCCCGAGCCCTGACCAGCAAGTGTGCGGACGGCCTGCCCTCTCACGGGCGAACAACACTCCCCTGTACAGACAGACCGCAGTTTACTCATCAGTGGGTGGGCATTGGTTGTTTCTGCTTTTTGGTTACTCTGAGCAGCGCGGCTAAGAACCTTCTGCAGAGAGCCCAGAGCCAGACAAAAAGGCCACCCGTGTGTGATTCCGTTAACACGAAATGTCCTGAATAAGTGAGTTCACAGGAAGGGACTGCTGTTCGCTGGCTCCCCGGGCTGGGGGTGGGGTGGAAGGTGGGGAGTAAATGTATGTGAATTTCACCCCAATACAGTTTAAAACAAACAAATGAAAATGAATCCTCTGGAGCAGCTGCTGTCAAAGATTCACAGGGCAGGAAGGGAGACGAGAGGCGGGCATGAATCCAGCGTGTAGCAAAGGAAAGTAATCCTAAAGTATGTTTGGAAAAAGCAATCAAGTGTTTGGCCGTGGGAGGGGCCAGAGCAGGGAGTGGGAGGGGCCAGAGCAGGGAAAACGGGGTGTGACCTGGAGGTGGCAGCCGTGGCTGGCAGTCCTCACGGTCCAGAGGCCGAGGGGCGGCCTGCTCTGCAGGTCTCTTCATCAGCTCCGTGGACAGGCCATGGAGACACCATCGACCGGGACTTTTCTGTATTTATCAGCTTTGCAGCTCATCGCCCACCTGCGACCACCAGCCATGCTCCAGGCAGCCTGGACGGGACTTGGGAAAGCAGATCTTTCCAGGCAAAGTCAAGTCAGCCCTCAAAAGGCCACGCAGAGAATCACACATTTAAAATGCAGACTTGAAGGCATTGCCTGAGCCAACAGCTGACGTTTTTAGACGAGCCACTGAGAAATGAGTCCTGCTGTCTCACGTTGAAGCCCCGTAAAGGAACTGACCCCCCGTGGGGCTTTCCCCGGTCGGGTGGGGCGAGCGGCCCCGCCTGGGAGGCCCCGGTTTCTCTGGGTGCCCTCCGCGGGCATCACAAACAAGCGCTCCAGCGTCAGTGGGATAGTCCAGTTTCAGCAGTTTGTCACGAAGCTCCTTTCAAAGGGATTTTCCGTAGAGGAGTTTGTGGACCCTGTTTTGCACACCCTTCCTGACATCACGAGGTCCCGGAGGGTGAGGTAGGAACTCCTTCATGGCGGACGGCCGTCTGCTCTCAGCGGAGCGCCTGCCCACCACTGCAGACAGCTAGAGCAGGGCACAGCCTTGTTAGAGAGAACCAGAGTCTGCGAGGCCCTGTCGACCCCAGGGAGCTCCAGCCTGCTTAGATCAATAGTCTTCCGCTCACCTGCTGCCTGGGGGACAGACCTGAGCCTCCACCCGTCTTCCCCCAACTTCCCGAGGCCTCAGCACAGACCCCACGGGGATCCCCATGAGTATGAGTCCCATGGATGGAGGCCCACCCAGTTCCCCTAGGAATATTCCAGAAGAATAGGCAGCTCTCCACGCACACACACGCTCCATCACCACCACCCGTGACCTCGCAACGCCTATCCTGATGTGGACCCACGGGGGTTTGGGGTAGAGCCCTGGACCCCCATCCTCTGGTGGAAGACGGGGCCTGTAGGCCAGCAGCTGACCGTCTTTCTTCCTTTACCAGAGTTCTGGTTTTGTGATTTCAAACTCCGGGCTGGGAGATGGGACGCGGGCGTGTCCCGGAAACACTCTCTGGGAAGAATTGGCGGAGGTGGTGCAGTTAGCTCAGGACGACTCTCTCACCAGTGGGAAGGACTCCTTCCTCACAGATCCGCCGGGTGTGGCAGGGAGGTGGACAGACTGGACATGATCGGTTCTCCGTTACCGAGAGAGGCCAGACCGCTCCCCCCGGAAGCCACGAGCGTGAGGATTCACACCCGATCTCCTCCTCAAAAGCCATGCCCTCTCTCACCAAGAATACATTTGCTGCCCAAGAAAGCGGGTCTCGGGCCGAGAGCAGGTGCGTGCTCCCAGATCAATATAAAGACAACATCGAAATGATGATGGTCTTCTCGGATAAAGGCAAAGCGTCAGGCCAGGATTAATTATTTATTACCTTTATTCCTAGTATTTTTCTCTGCCAAAAGTGCAAACACTTCCCCAGAAAACGGAGGCAATATTGCGGTTTCCATCCCGGGGTTGGCAAATAAACGTGCATTTCCAGAGCCAGAGTCCCTGCTCACTTTCCCATTCCCCCTGCTTTTAAATACCACGCTGCAGGCTCTAAATAGAAAAATAAATATTTGCAGATTAAAGGTTTCATTTTATTGCAAATATTCATGAAGATTAAATGTCATTTTAATCACACGTTAGCTTGTTTCTGCGGGAGCATCGCACGGGCGCCTCCTCACTCACTGCAGGGAAATGTGGGTTCCTGGCGCCAGCTGGGGCCGATTTACCATTTGTTCTTGGCCGCGTGAGTGGAGCGTGCCGCTCCTTGAATCAGAAAATACAGATCGTCGCCGGCTAATTGGTGTTCACGGATGGAAACTTCTAAGCCAGAGCTTCAGAGATGCTGAGATGCCGCTGTAGCAAAATGCCCTCTTCCCCAGCAAGGCGGTGGCCCGACCCCAGGGCCGTGGCCACTCAGCTCTGGGGGCCGGGCCGGCCTCGGCTCTGAACCCAGCCTGGAATTCCTTCCTGGGGAGAACTGGGAGCGCCGATTCCTCTCCGAGGAGAGGCGGCAAGAGACCGAAGCAAACGGGCCATCCGGCAAACACCTGCGCGGCCCTCTCCTCTAGGTCAAGGTCCCCATGAGGACCGTTTCCCGCACCCGCACCTTAGAATGAATAAGATGTGTCCTTGTTTGCGCCCCGTTCTCTTTTCACTTGTCTCCCTGGTGGGCTACTCCGTGCGAGGTGGATTTTACTAAATTAAAGAACAAAAGATGCGACCGAATGTGTAGAATTCATTTTTGGGCACAGACTTGTGAGTGGCCAGAGTTCGGTTCTTCACGGTGGATGCAGGTGAGCCCAGACAGGGTCGCGCCGAGGCCCTGCCCCACCGGGGAGCCTGCAGCAAGCCCGCCCTGTGCTCTGTGCGCCGCGCCTTCCTGCCGTCTCTGCTGAGTTCCTCATCATTCTTCCGAAAACAGAAGCTTTGGCTCTTGCTTCCCGAGGAGAGGAGAGGCCCCACACAGTTCTTTCAGCCGCACCCCTCCTTAGAAATCGCTGAGAAGACGGCTCCCGGCATGTGCTGTATGGGATAGACCGCTTCAAACCAGAATGAAGCCTTCTCACAGAACATTCTTTGCTTTTGTCCCTAGAACGAGGAACCGGTGTTCTCCAAGGACGGGCGGAAGTTCTTCTTTGTCAGAGCCATCCCCCAGGGGGGACAAGGGAAATTCTATCACATCACTGTGTCTTCATCCCAGGTAATCCCGTTTCCCGGACTGCTGCTGAGCCGGGGACAGCCCCTGCTGGGGACCGCTCTGCTTGCCCTTGTCATCTGCAAGGTCCCTGTTCAGACCAGGTCTTGAACTGGGAGGCAGTTTCCCCAAGGCGCTCGCAAAGCCCCAGGGGTTGAGTCACTGGGTCGCAGGTTTGCCCTTTCTATTATGGCTCAAAACTGCAATGACACTTCGGGGCGCCTGGGTGGCTCAGCTGGTTAAACGTCCGACTTCGGCTCAGGTCATGATCTCACGGTTGCGTCGGGCTCTGTGCTGACAGCTCAGAGCCTGGAGCCTGCTTGGGATTCTGTGTCTCCCTCTCTCTCTGCCCCTCCCCTGCTCAGACTCTGTCTCTGTCTCTGTCTCTCTCTCTCTCAAGAATAAATAAATCTTATTAAAAATATCTTTCTAATAAGATAAATAAATTAATAGGAAGTCTAGGGGCGCCTGGGTGGCTCAGTCGGTTAACTGTCCAACTTCAGCTCAGGTCATGATCTCGCGGTTCGTGGGTTCGAGCCCCGCGTCGGGCTCTGTGCTGACAGCTCAGAGCCTGGAGCTGCTTCGGATTCTGTGTCTCCCTCTCTCTCTGACCCTCCCCTGCTTGCTGCCTTTCTCTCTCAAAAATAAACATTAAGAACAATTTTTTTTTTTTAAATACGATGACGCTTCTGACAGTGTCACAGGACTGTGGGACCCGGTGTTGGGTATGAGCCCAGGGACTCGGGTCTCCTACTTTATATGACGATCCTGGGACCTCGACCCCCCCCCCCATCTGCTGTGCTGCCCCCTGACCCTGTCTCCCAGGGTGCCTTCAGGGCGCGGCGTTTTAGCCAGATGCCATTACCTGCTGCCACCAGCTGCCGCTCCCCTGATCCTGGGGTCTGGGGGCTCAGGAACGGGGCATCACTGAGTTTAATGTGCATGGATTTAGAACCAAAATCGGAGAGGCTGGTGAAGGCTGTTTGCTGCAGACCTGTCACCCCAGGGAGCCGCCCCCCCCCCGCATGGACGCTACCCCAGCACTGAGGTTTGGGGAGCGCTGCCCTTAGGGAGGAGGTGCAGAGAGGGTGTAGCATTTCTCCAACCACAACCCTCATCTTCTGGGTGTGGATCCCATTTCTGAAAGAGCTTAAGTTATTTGGGGCCCGGGGTAGGTGAATAAAATTTGATTCTAAACAGTTATCGAAATATATTCTGTGGCTACGAATGAAAGATGCCTTCTATTAGGATTAGGGCCCAAAGACAATTTCAAAAGAACAGTGCATAGGACACCCCACCTAAGGGCAGGCGTGACCCTGCCGTGGCCCAGCCGTGACCGTGGGGCGCCTCGAGGGCGAGGCTGCAGGCGCCGGAGTCTGCAGCCCAAGCGACCGCACGACTGACTGACAGTGACTGCTCTCTGGCCGACTCCCCATCGGTCACGGTGGCCCCAGGGTCCTGGTTCCGCATCACAGATGCACAGCACAGCGTCAGCAGCACAGGCAGCCCGGCCACCGCTGCCTCCCGTGAGACCCGCGCATCGTGGTTGGCAGCACTGGCCGGCACGGCGCGGGGTGACCAGTACCGCAGATGTGGACGCTGCTGGCGTCTGTGTTGGTGATGCTCAGGGGAGAGGAGGGCTGGGGCTCCGTGGACGGGCTGGACCTGAGCCCCAGCCAGAGGGGGGCGGGCGGGGGGGCAGACGGCACCCCATGCCCTGCGTGTCTTCCAGCCCAACAGCAGCAACGACAACATCCAGTCCATCACGTCCGGAGACTGGGACGTCACCAAGATCCTGGCCTACGACGAGAAGCGGAACAAGATGTGAGCGGGGCAGGCCGCGGGGCGGGTGGCGGGCGGCGGGCGGGCCACACAGGCCCTGGCTGGCCAGGCGCGGCCCTTACTTGCGGTCAGATGGCCCTCACGGGGTCCTGTTTCCCAGCGGCTGCACCTCCAAAGCTGCAAGCCACTGACCACAGGAAGCTGAGCGGGAGTCACGGGGAGCCCTGGGGGGCAGGCGGTGTCAGGACGGGTCTGTACCCCCTGTGAGCTCCAGGCCCCGTGCGGGGTGTGCTGTGACCCTTCTGTCCGTCGGCCCAGCAGTGCGGGCCTGGGGAGGGGTCACTGCTTTCCCCGCTCCTAACGGAAACAAGCTGACACACAGGCAGCTGAGTCACCGACTCCAGCTTGTCCGATGGTAACGAGCCGGGATGCAGCCCTGACGGCGGAGGCCGGGCCCAGGGTGCCCCTCGTCCTACCCGGGGGGGGACCGGAGCCCGCTGCCCGCGCTCGAGTGGCAGGTGCCACCCCTGCCCCAGGCGTCACGTCTGGACCAGCGTTAACTGTGCTCGGGTCCCAGCAGCCGTGTAAAGGGATGCCCGCGCCTGAGTCCAGGGGTGCCCGTCCTCGCCCCTCGGCACCCTGTGTGTGTGGCGCTCCCCGAGCAAGCGTACCCCGGGCCGGGCCTGAGCCGGACAGCTGGCCCCCATCGCCACGCACCACAGAGTCCGCGGGAGGGGACTGCAGACAGAGCCCCCGACCCCCGCCCTGGAACCGCTAATCCCCGTGCTGGTCTTTGCAGCTACTTCCTGAGCACAGAGGACCTGCCCCGGAGGCGACAGCTCTACAGGTACGGGGGCCGCAGGCAGGCTCCGCCCTCGGGGCACAGCACCCCAGGGAGGAGAGGGGACCCACCGCAGAGGGGCAGCTGGGAGGGCCAGAGACAAATAACGAGAAACACGGGGGCCCCCAGATCTGAAGCTTGGTTTTGCTGCTTTTGTCAGACGAGCTCCTCACCCCCCGGTGTAGTTTCTCGGGTCGATAACGCAGGCTCCTTCCTTCTCACCTTTATGCAAACACAGTTTGGAGGGTTTGGGGGGCTCCTCACTCAGGGCTGAGGGGAGGCAAGTGGGGTCCGGGGTGCTCCGTGCCTGGCGGGGAGGAGGCCCGTCTGCCGGCTCCAGGTCGCACCATCTTGCTGTGATGGTCAGATCCGGAATCTCCCACGAGGTGGGGGGTGGGGGGCTGCCATCTGAACCCTGGAGAAGAGACTTGTTGGCATTAGGTGCTGTCGCCTGCCCCGTCCCTGTTCAGCAGAGAACCTGTTAGGGTCTCAAGCGGGGCCTCAGATGTGGAAATAGGTCTACCTCTTCTGAGGTGGGTGTGCGCTGGTCACCGCCCAAGGGCACACCGGCCACCCCCACCCCCACCCCCACCCCCACCCCTGCCGTGTGGACCTGAGGGCCCCAGGGGTGACTCAGGCTGGATGGAGCCTGGCTCCCCTCCCTGCCCTGGGGACTCTGGGGAAGCCCCTCGGGTGATCCGCATGCCCCGCCCCACCGGCGCATATGCGTACGCCAGGGGCACAGAAGGGGGGGAGGGAATGGCGGAGCCACATGGTCACAGGCTCACTCCTCTAGGGGGGTCGTCTCCCAGTGTCACCCCAGGAATGGAAGGTGATCAAGGCGGGCCGCTCCCTTCCCCCCCCCCCCCCCCCCCCCCCCCCCCGCCTTACGTATACACTGTTAGAAGTCTTCTCTGGCCGCGAGCTACCGTCACCCTTGTGGGCAGGTCTCCTGGGGGCCCGTGGTGGGAGGGCCCCTCCCCTGCAGGAGCCCCTCTGGGTAAATGCAAAGAGTCCTCGGTATCTTAATTTGGGGAACACATTTCAGGCCTTCTTGACATGAACTCGTGCTTGATCCACGAAGTCCCCGGGTCCCTGCCCCCCCCACTCCCCCACCCCCTGGCCGACAAGTGAGAAGCACCACGTCTCCGTGTGGCTCGGAGGCAGCCAGAACCCGGGTCAGTCCGTGTCCCTGGGCTCCTTGCGCGTTGTGCACCAGCGCTGGGCCCTCGGAGAGAATTCGGAGATTCGGAAAACAAGCCCCTGTTCCCAGAGCATGAGCAATCTTCTTAGAGAGACCAGAGGTGTGGGTGCCAAGTGCTAGATACCAGCACCAATCACTGTGCGCCTCCCCCCTGCACACTGGGGGCGCGCACAGGGCCTGGTGACCAAGCACTTCCCCCCTGCACATCAGGAGTACGCATGGGGTCCGGTGACCAAGTGTGCACTGTAAGGTGTGCACCCAGAAAGCACATGCGCTATGCACCCTCCCAAGGGGTTGCCGGCCCGCCAGGAAAGGGGAGAACAGAGCAGAGCATTCGGGGGCCTCCCAGGAGAAGGGCCTAGGCTGAGCATCAGGGACTCCCGAGCACCCTTGAAAGGAGAGAAGCCACCGGCCGCAAAGGCCGCGCTGGCAGTTTGGCCCCGTGCCCTGGGCCAGCCCCCTCGCCGCCTGGGCTCACGCCCACCTTTGCGTTCCTCCAGCGCCAGCACGGTGGGCAGCTTCAACAGGCAGTGCGTGTCCTGTGACCTGCTGGAGAACTGCACCTACTTCAGCGCATCCTTCAGCCACAGCGCCGACTTCTTCCTGCTCAAGTGCGAAGGTAAGCTGTCCGGGCCTCTAGACCCGCCTCCAAGTCAGCACCGAGATCCGAGGTGGCCGGGCCACCGCGGGGGAGGTGGCAGTAGGAGCTCATCCCAGACCAGGCAGGGACCGGCCATGTGGGCTCACACGAGCGGGGTCACTGGACCGGCCCCCCATCCGGCACAGTGCTGGTGTTTTACAGTCCTTAGCGGTTACGGGCTTATCAGAGCGTTTACCTGCCCCGCCAGCTAGTCCCAGAGTTCCTCTACATCTTCCAGACACAGAGTCCCAGGAAGCAGCTAAGTGTCTCCCACATTGACAAACCTTCGCCACTTACAAAGGAAATAAAATTCTAAAGGTCAACTTCTCAAGCATGTTTAAGGGTTGAGGTGATATAAAAGAAGTCTCAGACAGAAAAGAAACGACTGCCCTATGACCTAGTACATGGGTAACTTATCCAGAAAGTCCCTGATCACACCCGTCAGTGCACACAAAGCAGTGGGCGGGTCCCACAATGGAAGAACCATATCTGGGCATCTTGTCCTCATGTTGGAAGGATGCGGTGTGCGCCCGTGAAAAGGTAAGTAGACGTAAATACGCTTGTTACAACACGTGTGTCCGGAGCTCGGAGCTCCTGGGATCACCTCGCTGCAGGGAGAGCCCACTGGGACCAGGATCAACTCAGGCCCGCAAGTCGTGGGTGGAGACTGAGGAGTGTGTGCGAGGGCTCTGGCCTTCGCCAGCTGCGCACCGGTGCACAACCTCACCGCCTCTTTATGAGTATCTCCCAAAGTCGTGAAAAGCCAGGAAGACTCGGCCCCTTGACCACCACAGGCTCAGCCGCAGATCTTCTCCCAAGATAATGGGGGGAATCTCTGAAATATATTCGCCCCCCCCGCCCAGTGCCCACAAGGTCATGGTACCACTCCTCTGTCCTGTGCTTCCCGAAGCAGACATCAAGGGGCTGAAGTCCTAGTGTGCCAGAGGACGAGAGAACCTAAGAGCCAGTCCACTGACTTCCTTCACCGACAGGAAGTTGGGTGGATCCCTGGCTCCTGGGGAGTCATAGGGACCAGCGTCAAGGTCTCTGGGCCAGGAGGCCAGCGACACCTGCTGCCCCGTGGCAGGGTCTTCGGGGGAGCATAGGGTTTCTCTGGCCAAGAAACCGACCTATCAGCAGCCGAGACAACAGCCTGACTGGAGCTGCACAATCAGGCATCTGGAATCTTGTTTCCAGAAGGAAACACAAAAACGTCATGATAAAATACAGAAAAGGAAAATCGAAGCGGATTTAAAGAACATCATTTAAAATCTGTTTCAATATTTAGCGTGCTGCTTTATCTTAAGGTGAGCTTAAAGTAGCCCTCTTCTCTACAAGATTTCTCTGTATGTATTTTTTTTTTATAATAACCTATTTTCTGGTGAAAGTAACTTGAATGGCCAAATTAACCTTTCCCCCAAAGCCTAACCAAACCTCGTATTTAAAAAGGGATCTTCTAAAAAAACACCTGAATGTACAAAGACAATGGCAGTCAAGTGTCCGAATCTGGATGCAGCGATGAGAGGCCTCAGACTTGGCCACCATGAAAGAGAATCCCGGTCCTGCGCTGAGGGACGGTTTACCCCCGGGGGCAGTGGTGATGACTGTCATTCAGGGGAGACTTCAGAAGGAGATGATTACACCCAGTTTGATTGCTTGGGATTTTTGTCGGGAAAGAAGAATCAAGGAAAGCGTCGTGGATGAGGTGGCATTTCAGATGCAGAGAAGGGTGGGATTCAGAGTGTGAAGTGCAGTGTCACAGGGTGGGGGTTGGGGGGGCAGCTTGAGGAGGAGCATTGGGCATGCCGAGATCACGTGGCGAGTCCCCCCACGGCCTGTTAGCCCCCATCCATCCAGCAGAGGCATGCATTGAAGAAGCCCAGTTTCACGACCAAAATCAATTCTGAGTAATTTTATTTTCCGCCGTGTTTCTCAGCAGAGATTAAAGTAGACCCGAGCAGCGTTGATTAAACTCCCTCCCCTGTGTGGCTTTCACACCCCGATGCCACTCGGGAGACTCCTACAAATCTCTGACCGCCTCCTGCCCCAGAGGCTCTCCTTCCCGGCTCCTGCAACACTGTGGGTGGATTAACACGGCCCCTAAGATGCAGCTAGGGCAGCGGCAACGAGACCTTCCCTTCTAGGCTGAAGAAAAGTGTAATGACCATAGAGGGTTCTGTGATCGGGGGAAGGGGAATCTGTGCAGTCCCAGGGCTCTGAAGGGCTCGGCCCATCGTGCAGAAGGAGGTTTGGACCAAGGGTTTAGAACCAGAACCAGGACCAGGTGAACACCCACCAGCCAAGCAGATGCCTAATCAGAGCAGCCATGGGCCATCACGCCACGGAGCAGCCATGGGCCATCACGCCACGGGAGTCCGCAGGGCTGGGACCACACACGCAGCTGTAAGGTCACGAAACTGCAACACCCATGCGTAAACTCCTGCTTTGCCTGTGGACCTTCCACTGTGATGGGCTTTGCTGAGTTTATCTGCGATGGTTCTGTCCCCTTAATTTACACTGCCCCTCAGTCCCAGCTGATTGTCGCTCATCAGTTGTCTGCACTGAAGGCTTGTCCGTGACCAGCCCTTCTGTGCGTGGTCCTTCTCCTGTGAGATCGTAATCTCTACCCTCATCATCACAGACTCCCACTTAGTCTTAACATCCGATGCCCTTTCCTGTGATGCTTCCTTAACATTTATGCTGTGCTGTCGCAAGGCTTCTCATCTCTGTATTTGTTTATAGTTCTAAAATTGTTTATAGTTCTAAAATTTTTGTTAAGTATGTAAAACTTTTATTTTTTTAATGCTTATTTATTTTTGAGAGAAAGAGAGAGAGAGAGAGAGAGAGAGACAACGTGATCAGGGGAGGGGCAGAAAGAGAGAGACACAGAATCCAAAGCAGGCTCCAGGCTCTGAGCTGTCAGCACAGAGCCAGACGCGGGGCTCGAACTCACGAACCGTGAGATCATGACCTGAGCTGAAGCCTGATGCTTAACTGACTGAGCCACCCAGGTGCCCCAATTATGTAAAAGTTTTAAATGCATAAATTCTTTTTATACCTTTGCACACGATAAATTAAAATAGCACAGTTAAGGAAAGACTCTGAAATGTCAGCAGTGCTTTACATCCACTCATTACCTACCTGGGTCCCATCTCTCTGTGCCAGTATTTCTAGCTAAAAGGGATGGGTTTCAGATGGTCGCTGAATGCTTACCTGAGGGATACCTGTAAACCGGATGCAGTGGAACCTTGTGGAAACTCACCTATATAACAGACACACAGATGTTTCCGTTTCTTTCCCAATCTCTAGGGTCTGGCAGGAAAGCCAAATACTTTCAACATACTGTATTACGATGTAACATTTCATAACGATTTTCCAGGAAAAACCAACAAGCTTTCGGTTCATACACTGTTGGTCTTCTCAATGACCCTGTAAGATGGGTGACAATAGAAATACCTAACCTTCTTCCAGCTCTTCACAATATGAAAAGTACATTCTTTATACTATCTGACGTTTATATTCCCATATCTGGTTGCTTGCAATTTATCTCTAACACAAAGAGATCTTAGAGTTCCCTGCCCTGAACATACTGTTTCACATTTGCACGTGTTGTGTCTGAGAGGGTGGGTGCTTTTCAGCTACCGCCAGGACCTCAGGTTTCTGTGGAGGCAAGAAATTTTTAATCTAAGGGGGTGGGTTATCAACCAGATTGGCCCAAACTACGATGTCCGGTGGCCATCTCACATTGAAAGTGGGCCATTCTGAGCTGCAGTAAGTTTGAAATGAACCCTTCTTGACAATCACTGAGAGGTTATGGGCTAACATTAAGTCTAGAGGTTTGGATGAAGTCTGTCTCATAGCGTCAGTCTCAGTCACAAGATAATAGACACTAACAAAGAACATCAACAACCACAAAGAGACACAGACATAGAAGGCTAGCCAACAGAAAAGTAAGACACCGGCCTCACGCCGGTTCACAGTAGCAACCCGCTCCGTCTTTTACCAAGTTCCTCAGGGGGCACCTTGTCCCCATTACCGATGGGGCCTCGAACCCCGTTACCGATGGGGGCCTGGAACGTCTTCACAGCATCCCCCGTGGTCACGGTCCCGTGGCGCGTCCACCTGACCATAATTGACCACTTCCAAATACCGATTTGTCCCAAGACCAAGAATAGAAATAGACAGAAATAGACCAGACACGTAGAGACAAATAGGTTCTTACCAGCCAGTTGACCCTTCGGTTTGGGGGTCCTGGGGGTCTTGGGGGATCCCGGACAAGCCCCCAAATGTTGTGCCCAATTCACGAGTCCCCAGAGACCACCAAGGAGCCAACACCGATGCAAGTACAAAAGGGTCTTTATTACAAGCTCAAGCAGGGGCTCACCCACCTACCAGCGCAGCAGCAGCAGGGTGAAGCCCCGAACAACAGTGAGCAGGGTTTTTATAGGGTAAGGGATGGGGGTGTTACTCTGCACACGTTGTACGTATGGCATCATTACATAAGCTCCAATTACAATTGTACAGCACCCAAGGTAATAGTTTTTATTATTCAGTATCTGTGAGGTGTCCATTACTTTTGGCGGGGACCCAATCATGACCTTTGAGTATCTTTTGAAAATGACTAATTATGAGGTGAGCTCAAAGGGCCTACATGGGGTTTAGGCAAGTGGTGAGTAATTGGTTAATTTGTCTGCAGTTCCCAGCCCTGACTCAGACCACAGGAATGTTTAGCTGATCTGAGAGCAGTCAGAGGGTGGCTTTAGCCTTAAACAGTCTGAGGCTTTTTCTGGAACTGGGGCTACACGTAGCCCAAGATTGCTCTTAATGGAGGTCTTAATCTCAAAATGACGTTACTTAGGCTCTTCACACGCTTGGTCTTTGATTGCTCAGGGAACGCACACATGTTGTCCAGACCTTCTTTTGGGTAAGGGTTGATTTTTATCGCCCCTTGGGATGAACTAGCCCAGGCAGCGTGGGCA